AAAAAAAAAAAAAAAAAAAAAAAAAAAGCTCTCTCCAATCTTCTCTTATTTCCACTTGTAGAGGTCAAAAATAGCTTTTCCATCTCTCCTTTTCTCTTAGCAGATTTACTTAGTGTGTGTCTGGTGCTGGGGATTGAACCCAGGGCCTTACACATACTAAATAAGTGCTTCTCTACTATGCTACATGCCCCACCTCTGGGTGCACTTCTTGAGAGAGTAATCTATATTTCAACTTTTGTTCATTTTTTGTTATAATCTGGCTTCTGTTACTTGAAAAATATTATTAAGGGTACTTTCTTCTTAGCCTGCTTTTAGTCCTTATACTTTGAAGCAAGAGATATGTATTTTTTTAAACTATTCACATGGTTTCTGTGGCATCTGATATATTTTTTGTTTTTGTTTGGCACTGGGGATTGAACTTGGAACCTTTTGCTTGCCAGGCAGGCACAGGCACCACTGAGCTTAATCCCTGCTCTTGGTTTTGTTTTTTGAGACAGGGTCTTGCTATGTAATTCAGGCTGGTCTTGAACTCACTATGTAGTCCAGGCTGGCCTCGAACTCACTGTAATCCTCCTGCCTCAGCCCCCTAAGTACTGGGACTACAGGCATGCGCCATCACATTTGGCAACATCTGATGTTTTAGAAGGCTCCTGCCCTCCTTTCCCCTCTCCTTTCTTCCTGTAGTGGTGCATGCCTATAATCCCAGTAGTTGGAGGCTGAGACAGGAGGATTGCTGTAAGTTTAAGGCCAACCTGGGCTCCCTAATGAGTTCAAGGCCAGCCTGAATTACAGATCGAGACTCTTATCAAAAGAAGCAAAAAAACAAAGCAAAACAGAAATATGGCTAATCTTTTCTTCTCTTTGTGCTTCTCTCCCTCCTTCTCTCTCTTTCTCCTTCCCTTTCTTTTCTTTCTTTCTACTATTCCGGGGTTTGGAACCCAGACCCTTGCACATGGTATGCAATTGAGCTACATACACTCTAGCCTCTGGATGAACTCTGTAAAAAGCCATTATGTTTCTGTGAATTTGTGGGATGGCAGAGTGGAAATCCCATGGATCGGGATGCCAGTAGGTGTTCAGCATCTGTGGGATGTTGGTAAGGTGTCTATAGCTGAGAGAAGAGAAGGGGATGTCTATGGAGGATGGTGAATTTCATCAGTTAGAGCTGAGGAGTATCAGTGGATTAACAGTCGGGTGAGGCCTTCCCAGGTAGTGGTGAGATGCTATGGTTGAAGAGGGTTGAAATATCTGTGAGTGTATGAGTAATAGACTGGGCATGCATAGAACCTGAAAGATTGTGCCCTGCTTTTTTTCTGGGACTCTGAGCATAGCATAATTTGTCTGAGTGAGGAGTGAGTGTGGCTAAGTGGCTGAGTATAAGAACTCTGCTGACACATTTCTTATCCTTCCAGGTTGTACTTTGTGGGCTCCCGAGAGGGCCATCTCCCAGACCTTCTGTCCATGATCCACGTTGAGCGTTTTACACCCATCCCTGCTTTATTGTTCAATGTAAGCCCTGCTGTGGGAGGTCTGGGCACTGTAACAGGGACCTTGAGAAAGGCCTTACTGCGAGATTTTTTTTGTTTTGTTTTGTTTTTTTGAGACAGGATCTCACTATGTAGTTGAGACTGACCTGGAACTCACTATGTAGCCCAGGCTGGTTTCCAACTCACAACGATCCTACTCCCTCAGCCTTCTGAGTGCTGGGATTACTATGAGATTTGAAAAACAGTTCCTTATATTTTTTGTGATTCTGGGATCAAACCAAGTTCTCACACATGCTAGGGAAGTGTTTTACCACCCTCCAAGCTACACTCACAGCTCACTTTTCCTTTGTCTCTGCTGAATAGACTGTTTCAAATCCTTGTTGATAATTTGGGGAAAAGATAGGGAGTAATTCTGTTGTTGAAGTTTAAACAAGCCTATACTTGTCCCAGGACTATGGTCCCTGACCTCAGTCCTCTAGGATTCGCCCCTCATCCCCGAAGGACAAGTTCTGTCATACCTTTCTTCACAGAGGGTATGAATCCATTGTGCTATTATTTGTGTCTAAAGCTCTCTGGAGGTACTTCCTCCAGTTGTGTCAGGTCTAAGCACCTCCTGGGCCACAGTATGATTCAGGTTGAGGTTGGTGCATTGAAGCTGCCTGCCATCAGAAAGGGAGAGGAGTCTGCTGTGTTACAGCAGCGCTTGTAATAAGAGGGAGGCATTGAGTGTAGGAGGGGGAGAGATGCTGACGTGAAGGTTGGTGTGAGGAATGGACACACCAGATGCCGGGGCTCACTGGAAACAGGTGGTAATCTGGTGAACCCGTCAGATCTGACAGCCTGCTGGTTGGTGAAGTGTGTTGGGTGGGCTAATGGTGCCGGTGGGCACTCCTCCTCTGCACTCCACTTTTGCCTGACAGTGCACTATGACGCTCATCTACCTCATTGTGGAGGATGTTTCCCTGCTCATCAACTACTTCAGCTTCAGCTACTGGTTCTTTGTGGGCCTCTCTGTTGTCGGACAGCTCTATCTTCGCTGGAAGGAGCCTGAACGGTCCCGACCTCTCAAGGTTAGTGGCTCTGCACACTAGGAGGTGGGCCCTCTCCCCAAGGCGCCTTCTTGGCCATGCCGTTCCCCCATCCCACCCTACTTAATATTTCACTCCTCCTCCATTTCAGCTGAGCCTCTTTTTTCCCATCCTGTTCTGCATATGCTCCACGTTTCTGGTGATTGTGCCTCTCTTCAGTGATAGCATCAATTCCCTGATTGGCATTGGAATCACCCTCTCCGGGGTTCCTGTCTACTTCATGGGTGTTTACCTGCCAGAGTCCCAGAGGCCACTCTTTGTTCGGAAAGTCCTAGGTGAGCATTTCTTTGCCCCCGTCACTCACTGGTTGTGTACCCACAGAGGCTAACAACTTCCTTTGCCCTCCTTATGACTTTCTGGAGAGTGAGAACTGGCTGTCCCACCACACTTCTTGTTTGATCTTGACATGATCATTTTATTTATTTATTTTTGGTACTGGGGATCAAACTTGGGACCTTGCACTTGCAAGGCAGGTGGTAAAACCAGAGCTAAATCCCTCGCAACACTATCACTTTAGTTCTAATTTTTGTGTATTGTTTTGGGGTCAAAGCACTCCCTCCTGACAGAGTAGTCTACCTGAGAAGACAAGCGATCATACCTCAGATGCTTTCTGGGTATGGAATGGAGGATAGGGAGAGGCTTGTTGGAGCTGAGGGGCAGTGTGGTTCAGGATGTCCAAGACACCAGGTGGAGGGCCGGGGGTTTAACTTAGTGGTTCCAGTGCTTGCCTCCCAAGACACCAGGTGGGGAGGGAGCCACAGATGCGCTTTTAGCCTTCTGTGTTCAGATTGGGGTAGTTGCTAAATGTGCTTGCTAAGTAAATCCTGTGCTTTTCTATTTTCATTTAGCTACTATCACCAGAGTTACCCAACTCCTTTGCTTTTGCGTCCTGACTGAGCTAGATGTAGCTCAAGAAAAAAAGGTTGAGAGGAAAACTGACTAGAAACCAGAGGTGACATCCCCCAAGATCCGGAAGGCTGACCACTTGCGGCCATGGCCATCAAAGTCCAGATACCTGAATTAAAGGAGCTTGTTGACACATTCTGTAAGGGGGCTCAGGGCCAGGGCTTACTTACCATAAGCTATGGGAGGATCCTCAGGGTTGGGACCAGCCTGAAGGTGGGGATCTCAGGAAGGAGGGGAGGGTGGGGAGCAGGGGAATGTTAGTTTTCCTCCTGGTGGTTAGTGGCAATCCTGACAAACACCTGGTAAATGCAGTGGGGGAAGGAATGCTAGGTTGATAACTAGGGCTGGTGGCTCACAGCAGTTTGAAGTTTGAACCAGGAGTCTACACGGGCTACTTTTGGGGGAAGTTTTCCTTTGATCAGGTCCAGCCACCTGACTTACAATGCTATAGTTTTTTTAACTGGCTCAAAATTCTTCCCTGGAGAGAGGGTTGTATGCCTTTGTTTTTTGGGGAGGATGGATAGCAAAGCTTTATTTAACCAATATGGGAACAGTGTTTATCCCATTTCCTGAAATTTGTAAGAGGAGTACCTGTCTTTGAACTTTACAATCCAACAGTAGGCATGATGGGAGGAAATCTTTTCAGGGTCTCAACAGTGTCCACTGAAGGTCCCTCTCATCAAGGCTGACCTCTTGTGTGTTCATATGCTTAGAGGCACAGGATTTCATTGTGTACAGATTATCTATCTCATAGAGGAGGTCCTTCCTGCCTGAGTGGTTGGATCATTTTTGTACGTAAAGTCTTTAAGGAAGAAGGAAAGCTTCTGGCTCCGTAACGAGTTGGTCTTGGCCACTTGTTATGCACCCTTTCGAGCTGGAACCTTGATGCTTCAGTGGAGGCCATGGTCCTGAAGCAGGCTGGGAAAAACCTCACTGTTCCAGCTGAGAAGCAGCTGGCCATGCTATGGCTGCCACCAAATTCAAACTCTATTCCATTATGTTAATCCAGAACACCAATTCTGTAAAACATTAGTGTTCATTTGATTACAGGATGCAATAGGCTATGTTTAAAAATTCAGAGTACCCCAGACTTTCTGCCTCCAGACATAATTCTGACAAGAGATTTTACACAATCTTCTGTTCAGTCTTACCTGCAAACGATTAAAATCACATACCTGTTACATCATTAGTATATAGATCAACATGTTACTAGCACCTGACTCAGGTCCAACAAGGACCAGTGAACAAATTTATGAGTCAGAAGTCTGGTAATACTATTTTGAAGGATAATCCTTTATTTTATTGAGATGTTAGGTCTTTGTTCTAGTTGATAGCAAGTAAATCTCTGGGTTTCTGATAGGAACATTAAAAGTGCTGTACTGTTCTGGAATTCAGGTGAATCACCTGAAATTTACCAGCTGTCAGTGAGTTTGAAGAACCTCTCACTGACCCAAGTCATCACATACTTGTTCCTCTCTGTAAGGGCAGGTGTGAGGGACTGCTGTGCAGACCCAAGCAAGCCCACCCTGGTGCTGGAAGTAGTTATTTTCTTTTCTGAAAAAACCCATGCCAGGCTGTATCCTCTCTTCTGTCCTGGGTACCAGGCTTTGTTTACGCTCCTAGCTACTCCTAGCTGCCTTGGTGTGAATTATGGGAGTAGTGTACTTCTCTTCTGCTGACCTTCCCTTGCCAGAGGGCTGATGGAGCTGTAGTCTCAGGAAGAGCTTGGTACTTGTGGGACTTCTGTTTTCTCCCCATGGATAACAGTGAACACTCCAGGAGAAAGACTGCTTCAACCTCATTATGGATGCTCAGCTGACTATAAGAATGGAAGCAAATACTTTTGGTGGTCAAGTTGGGCCACCAGGTCAGGTCAGAGCAATGTTTGGCCTACATGGATCTTTTCATGGGCAGCATAGCTGCACTGGCTTGTACAACAGTCCATTTTGGACCCAGAAGAACCTGCTGGCTTAGTAATTAGCACACTCCATGGACAACTTGTCCTTAATTTTTGGAATTGGTCAATAGTAAAGACAAGAACTATGAGGTGATCTCTTCTGACCATTCTTCACCAAACTGGCTTGTCACAGATAAGGATGCAACCCTGGATGTAATATTTGCTCAATAAAGATTTGGGGGAACACAATCACAGTTGCCTTTGGTTCAGGGTGTGCATCTGTGAGAACATAAGAGGGAGATTCCTACTCTCATGGATTTAGGATTTGTGTAACAAATTCTTGCCTGATCACAAGGAGTCTTATGCAAAGGCTGACTTGCCTAAACTATACAAATAAGATTCTTTTCTGAGCCAAGTTGGCACCCATCCCACGGCTCCTCTTAAGCTAATCCTATAAGCAGAATGTGTTGGATTTGAGGATCCCTGACCCTGGCTGTAGCATTCTCCACACGATAAGCAGCTAATCTCAGGAATCTGCTGCCCCCCAGGGGCAGGGGCTTCTACAGTAGGAGAAACAAAAGGCCTCACTACAGGTGCTCCACACTTGTTTAGTGAGCCTGTCATCTTCTCATTACTGGATGCTAACGGTGGATAGACTTCTCCCATGAACCCTTCTGTGGCAGGAAAGCCAGACTCCCTAAGGCACTCAAGCTTCTCCCTAAAGCAGAATTAATTCCCATCAAGTCTTTTGTCTCCTTTAATTGGTGTGCTAATCATCACTTTTGCTGTGGTACAGTTTGTAACTTTTTGCACTGAGCAGTTTGTGAAATTGTTGGCCCCTCTAATGTTGGCAGAACTCATGAACATATAAATAGTGGTCAGCAAATTTACAATGGCAGAGTAGTTTTTAATCTTTTTTTTGGTACCGGGGATTGAACTTGGGTTCTTGCGCTTGCAAAGCAGGTGGTGGATCCACTGAGCTAAATCCCCTGCCCTTTAATCTTTGGTTTCTAATGCCTACAAAAAAAGAGACTAATATGACTAGTATTAGACATTAAGTTACTTATTTGCAACAGTGAATTTTACCTTTGTGGATACTCAGAATTTGGCTAGGGCTGGGGATTTAGCTCAGTGGTTCCGGAGCCTGCCTTGCAAGTGCAAGGACCCAAGTTTGATCCCCAGTACCAAACAGAATTTGGCTAACAACTCCATGCAGATATGAACTAATGTAGATAAAGGCTTACAAAATGTAGATAAAAAAGAATGGGTGGGGGTAAGACAGAGCAATTCAGAATCTTAAAGCGGTAGGAAGGGCTGGAGATTTGGCTCATTGGTTCCACCACCTGTCTCTCAAGTGTAAGGACCTGAGTTTGATCCCTATACCAAAAAAAAAAAAAGCTTCTCCCTGTATAATTTATTTTCCCATGTGACAGTGGGGGACAAATTCTCGTAAGGGAAGAGCATACCTCAAATCAAAGGTTCTGCATTGCTTCCCTGTGTTGTCCAATATAGTAGCTACCACCTACATGTAGCTGAATTAAAATGAAGTAAAAGCTGGGCATGGTGGAACACGCCTATGATTCCAGCACGCAGGAGGTTGAGGAAGGAGTATCATTACAAGTTCAAAGCTAGGCTGGTCTACATAGTTTAAGATCAGCCTAAACCAGGGAGATCCTGTCTTAGAACAACAAAAATTACTGTTTTATCGTTGTACTAGTCAGACTGTAAAAGTTCCATAGCTACATGTATCTAATGGCTACTACTGCATAGTGCAGATATAATCCCTGTAGAAAGTTCTATGAGATACAAATGGGGGAAGGGATAAAATAAAATTTATTAAAAAAAAAAAAAAAAAAGAAAGTTCTATGGGATAATGTTACATCAGTGAAATTGTAACTCAGGATAGCTAGGGTTTGCAAAGGAGTAGGGAGAAAACTTGCTGACTAAAGAGATACAAATTCTGGTAAGAAGACCGGTTCTGTTGATAGTATAGTCCACCTTCCATATCCAGGGACTCTGGATTCCTGTACTGAAACAACTGTGGCTGGAAAATACTTCGGGTGAAAACTGCATCTATACTACACATGAACAGGTTTATTTTTTTCTTGCCACTATTCCCTAAACAATATGTATATAACAATCACATAGCATTTATATTGTATTAGGTTTTATAAATAATCTGGAGATGATGACAGAGTATGCAGAGGATGTGCAAGGGTTCTGTGAAAATGTCATTTTATACAAGGGACTTGAGAATCTGTGGATGTTGGTTTTCATTCACAGGAGGTCATGGAACCAATCATTTGAGGGATGATTATGGTGAGTGATATGAATAGTAAACATTTTTTGACTTGAAAGCCAAGTGTAGGATGTGCTTTCTTTTTCCTCCCCTAAGTCCTTACTAAGGTTAATTCTGAAACTTCTACACTAACTGCCCCCCTTTTTTGTGGAGCTGAAGTATAGTAGGAAAATACCTAAGATACTCAGAGTTAAAGATTTTGAGCTGGATGGTGGTACATGCCTGAAATTGCAGCACTTGGGAGGCTGATGTAGGATCTGCCCGAGTTGGAGGCCAGCCTGAACTACATAGTGAGACCCCATCTCAAGAAGCCAGAGAAACAAAGTTTTGAAGGCATTGGCCTGTTTCCATGTTCAAAAATAGCTTTATTAAACAGAGAAACACATTCATGCATACTATTTCTTGGCCCCATGCCAAAAGAAGAATCTTTACAACCATTTTCAGAGTACAAGGCCAGGAGGCAAGATAGCTATTAATACCTCGCACAGCTCAGATAGATTCTATTTCCTGTTCTGTTTTTTTTTTTTTTTTTTTTTTTTTTTTTTTCAAGGAACCAATGTGTTTTTCTCTTTTTTTTTTTTTTTTTTTTTTTTTTTTTTTTTGTGACAGGGTCTCGCTATGTAGTTGAGACTGACTTGGAACTCACTATGTAGCCTAGGCTGGTCTAGAAGTCACAGCGATCCTCCTGCCTCAGCCTCCCAAGTACTGGGATTACAGGTGTGCGCCACCATGCCCGGCTCTATTTCCTGTCCTAAGAGTTATTATCTAGACTGCTGCTGCAAGAGGATGTCACCAGGCCAGTCAATCCTAAGTACAGAGCCCTCTTGGGCCTGTGATAGAACCTCATGGCCATTACAAGCCCATCAGTCTGAATCCAGGTCCTGGAGGTTGTCGTAGCCAAACTCCTTCTGTATATCCAGAGGGTACTTGCACCATACCTGTCGCCTGCTGCCTCCTTCTTCCTCACTGAAGCTGTCACAGTCATCAGAACCTAGAAGAAGACACCAGCAATGGACTTTCACTGTATGATTTTATACCAAAGAGCCCCTTCCTTTCTCAAAAAGGTCTGGTTTTTGTTCTCTATTTAAAAATACTTGTTTAATAAAGCAAATCTGGAATATAGAACTTTAAAAAAAAAATAATTACATTTCCACCATCTAAACAAAGTTAACACTGGCAGATTCTGTCACTTGTCCCTGTAGGATTTTATTCCATTGAGTAAGTAACTGTTCCTTTATTATAAGACACTAGGAAAAGATTTTGTTGGCTACACTTAGAGGAATGTAGTCCTGGGTTCTCCTTCCTCCATATGCCTATACTGTATCTTTCTCAAAACAGGTGGGCTGGGCGTGGTGGCACACCCTTAATCCCAGCACTTGTGAGGCGAGACAGGATTGCTGCGAGTTTGAGGCCAGCCTGGACTACATAGTGTCTCAAAAACCAAACCAAACAAACAAAAAAGACAGCTGGAAATGCAGTTTGAGGGGTTAGATAACTCATGAAAACCTCAGGCCTATCTACTGGTGAGTGCCTCATAATTTGATGGAAGTAGGGAAAGTGACAAAAGTCTACATGTTTTACTTAATCCCAGTCACACTGAAGTTGATGCAGTATAGTCTCATTTCCTGGGGACAAAATGAGGCTCAATGAAGTAATCTGTGTAAGATCGAAGTAGGCTATGACAGAACTAAGGATCTGAACCCCACACCTGACTGACATATTCCCAGCTGTTCCTCTAGAAACACTGCTCAGTGGCAGAGAAAGGAGGCAAACTGAGACATACTGATTATGCTGTCACCTCAGTCTTGGATCTTAGCAGTCCCTCCCATGGAGGCTGCCACTCACCTCTGGAATCTTCCTCCGCATCACTGCTTTCCTCTTCTGGGTATTCATTACGCCAGTTATTCTCACTGTTTTCATCATCTTCATCTTCATAAGTGTCTTCAGGTTGCTCATCATCCTTTACCTGTGCATCTCAACACAAACATGAACCTAAGTCAAAATGCTCTTTGGGGGAAGCTGTCAGCATACTAGCCTGGGGAGATTCCAGTAAAGGGGCCATGTAGGTAAAAAGCATTAGTTTGGCTCTACTGCATAATGGTAATCTTATGCTATGAAGGGGTGATAGAAGCCCTCCTCTATCCAGAGCCCAGCTCAAGATACCACATTCCAGATCACTAGAAGGGGAGGAAAGGGTAGAGGAGCAATAGCTCTTAACAGAAATTGCATCAATCTGCAAATTCCTAATGGGTACCCAGAGGATTATATGGGTGATGCAAAAGGTCCAAGCTAAAACTTGAGAGAGTAAGAGATGCAGGAAGACAGGAGTAGGTAGGGGCCAGGCAATTTCCAATGGTGGACACCTGACTGCAAAGTTATGGTTCTAAGAATAAATAAATAAAAGTTATGGTTCTAATGTAGGTGCAGGATAAGGTGCTTTACTCCCAATGTCAGTGTGAATGTTGTTACAGGATTCTCAGTAGTTGTATTAGGATTTAAGAATAATGGTTTTAGGGGCTGGAGGCTTAGCTTAATGGCATTGCACCTGCCTTGCAAGTGCAAGGTCCCGAGTTTGATCCCGGTACCAAAAAAAAAGATACAATAAAAACAGGTTTGGTGGTGAATGCTTGTAATACCAACACTCAGGAGGCTGAAGCAGGAGAACTGTGTGTTCAAGGCCAGATTGGGATACACAGTTAAGTTCCACACCATCCTGGAGCACATAGGGAGACCCTATCTCAAACCAGAAAGATGCAATCCTTTTAAGCAAAAACAAGAACTAAAAATAATGTTTTTCAGGAGTGAAGCCCAGTGAGGCAAACACCCTGAAAGAGCAGAGGCTGTCATATGTCTTCTCTCCTCGTGGGCCCCCTTACCAGCTCCAACTCCTGGGTATAAGGCTGCACAGAGAGGATGTTCTCAATCCACCCTGGAGGGGCTGTCTCCAAGTAGTAGATGTCATACACATAGTCGTCATGCTTTTGTTCCTCCTGGTGTCCAACTCCTGGGCCATCCTCAGATACAGTCAGCCGCTCACGAATCAACTCTACTGAATTGCAGAGGATCACATCTGGGTCAGATGTCTGTAATGAAAACATAAATGACACATCCATGACTCAAAACATGCTGCAAGAGGAAGAACCCAAAAACTACTCCCAAAAGTAGGCCTGCTACAGCCTTCCTGTTGTGCTCAAAATTCTTGTCTTACTAGTGTCTTAATTAGCTACAAAATCAAAAGTGTCTATAAAATAAATTCGTGTAGTCCCTCTTTCATATAGAAACCTGCAAGATAAGCCTTCTGCTCTGTTGCTTGGCTGAGACCAAAACTTTTGGGAAGACTGACCTGAGAGGAGGGGAAGCAAGATGAGAGAGCCAGTCTTGCTCCCAAGCTTTTAGTTAAACCTGATTCTATAGGTCTTCTGAGTTTGTCTGATATGATGCTCTCCCCCGGGGATCCACAGGCTGACCCTGAAATGGGTCGACATTTTGTGGAGCCTCTTAGAGGCCAAAGGCAATTCCTGGTGACCACTATTACTCATCATTTGACTTGTCTCATACTGACATCTTGCTTTTAATCACAAAGCAGACTCACCTATAATCTTTCTACTAGGAAGAATGAAATGTCAAAATGAAATGTCCCAGAATAGAAGTAGCCCGAGTAAGATGTGCTTCATTGTCTATAGGATGTGTGTCCAAGACCTGGGAAGCACAGGTAAGTTTGGAAGGCAGGGGGACAAGTCCATTACAGGAGGCTGCACAGCTCAAATCACACACATGAGAAAATGAGTGTTCCATGCCAAGACATACAATGGGAGACTGACGCTGATATTTAAAGGCTGAGGAGAAGAGGATTTTCCCTTGCTCCAAAGTCACAAAGAAACTAGAGATAGATACAAGTTTCTGCAGCCATTAAGTTATTTACAAGACTAACATACAGAAAAGTACCAAATGTTATTCTATACTCAAGTAGGAAACGAGCTTTACTCTAGACTGAAACTTTGGATTGGGGGCAAACTGAGTGACACTCCCCTATTTTTCTTTCTTTTTTGGTACTGAGGATCGAACTCAGGCCCTTGTGCTTACCAGGGAGGCGGCAGAACCACTGAGCCAATCCCTGCTATTTTTCTTTTTTTTTTTGCAGTACTAAGGATCAAACCTAGGTTGTATGCTTGCTAGGCAAGCAATCTACTACTAAGCTACACTCTCACCCTCCTATTTTACTTTTTAGGTTGCTGTATGTTTTCAAATTCTCTTATGAATATGTATTATATGCTACATATAGCATTTTTTGCTGTCAAACACAAATTAGAACTGTCCCAATCTTCATGGTTATCAATTATATTTTTATTTTTTTGTAATACTAGGAATTGAACCTTTGCACTAACTGCAACCCCAGCCCCTTCTCCCATTTTTTATTTTGAAACATCATCTATGTTGCTAAACTGCCTGGACTCAAACTTGTGATTCTCCTGCCTCAGCCTCCTAAAGGGCTGAGATTTCAGTCCCATACTACTGCCAGGCCTGGGTTAGGGTTATCAATTTTATTAAAAAAAATAATAATAAATTAAAAAAAAACTAACATGCAGTAAAATTGACTTTATTTGTTTTTATTTTTTATTTTTTTTGAGACAGGGTCTCACTATGTAGTTGAGATTGACCTGGAACTCACTGTGTAGTCCAGGCTGGTCTCAGACTCACAGCAATCCTCCTGCCTCAGCCTCCCGAGTGCTGGGATGACAGGAAAATTGACTTTAAAACTGAACATAGGATCCATGCACGGTGGCCCCGGCTGTAGCCTGTGCCGGCACAAAGTAGGGATACAAGTATGTAAGGCCAGGCATAGTGGCGCACACCTGTAATCCCAACACTTAGGAGACTGAGGCAGGAGGATTTGTGTGTATTCAAAGCTAGCCTGGGCCATATAGTGAGTTCAAGGCCAGTCTAAACTACATACTGAGACCCTGTTTCAAAAAAAAAGTATGTGTAACTCATAGGGGTTTTTGTGAGGATTCACATGCATGCTGGGCAAGCACTCTACCACTGAGCTACATCCCTAGATATTTTTATTTATTTTTAAAATTTTAATTTAATTTTTTTCTTTTTGTTTTGTTTTTTGATACTGGGGATCGAATTCTGGACCTTGCGCTTTCAAGGCAGGTTGTGGCACTACTGAGCCAAATCCCTGGCCCTTCTTTTGGTTTTTTTAAGATAGCGTCTCGTTGTGTACTTCACGCTGGCCTTGAACTTACAGCAATTTTCCTGCCTCAGCAGCCTAAGAAGAAGCTGGGATTAATGGCAAGTGTCACTATGCCTAGCTTATTTGCAAAAAACTTAAATGATGTCAACTGAAGGAATAACCCACTAAAATGTGACAAAGTGTTACTAATTTTTTTCCTTTCTTTTTTCTTCTTTTTTTTTGCAGTACCAGGAATGGAACTCAGGACCTTGTGCTTCCTAGGCAGGTGTGGTACCACTGAGCTATATCCCCTGCCCAAAATGTTACTAATTAAAAATTTTTTTTGGTACCAGGAATTGAACTTGGGTCCTTGCGCTTGCAAGGCAGGCGGCGGAACCGCCAAACTAAATCCTGGGCCCCCCCAAAAAATTTTTTTAAGCCGGATGTGGTAGCATACGCCTGTCATCTCAACATTCAGGGAGCTGAAGCAGGAGGATCATTGAGAGTTTGAGGCAAGCCTGGGCTACAAAGTAGGTTCAATGACTACACAGTGAGACACTATCTCAAAAAAAAAAAAAAGAAAAAGAAAAAAGGTCATCAATTTTAAAATCTCTTTAGATATTTTAATGTCTTTACATCCAAACATAATAATTTACACTTTAAAACAGGCCACAAACTATTTTTAGAATTCCAAATACATAAAAACATGCTGTTTTACTATAACTGTATAGTCTACAAAGTATAGCCTTGCCAGTAATGCTATCAATTACCTGTTCCTTGGTAGTCTAGTAGGCATAAAATCTCAAGTATGCTTTAATCTTAAACTCATATTTATTTATAATTACTCTGTGCAAACATTTCTGATATGTTCAAAATATATACTGCTTTATTGGGGAAAAATCTCTTAATATCCTTAAGCCAGTTTACTTTTTTTTTTTTTTTTTTAATAAAACTGAGTGATGGGTGTGGGATTTAGCTCAGTGGAACCTGCCTTGGCAAGTACAAGGTCCTGAGTTCAGTCCCTGGTACAAAAACAAACAAAAAACTGAGTGAGCTGTGGGCTGGGGATTTAGCCCAGTGGCACCATGCCTGCCTCACAAGCTCAAGGTCCTGAGTTCGATCCTGGTACAGAAACAAAACAAAACACTGTGTGAACTGTTTAACCTGATTTGACTCTAATGAATGCTGATTTACTTTTCAAAACTTATAACCTGGGCTGGGAGTGAAGCTCAGTGGTAGTGTGCTTGCTCAGCATACCTGAGGATCTGGGTTATAGACATCAGGCTCAAATTGCTATCTAGCTATACTAGCACCATAATTTAATATTATTTGTGGGTTTATTTTGCTGTCAATTTTTTGTTGTTTTTTGTTTTGTTTTTTGGTACTAGGGATCAAACTCGGGTCCTTGCACTTGTGAGGCAGGCAGTGGAACCACTGAGCTAAATCCCTGGTCCCTGTGGGTTCATTTTAAATTAAAATTTAAAAACTTTATAAATGATTAAAATTAGGGATTTATTTACTTATTTATTTATTTATTTTGGTTTGTTTGTTTTTTTGAAATAGGGTCTCACTATGTTGTTGAAACTGACCTGGAACTCACTATGTAGCCCAGGCTGGTCTCGAACTCACAGTGATCCTCCTGCCTCAGCCTCCCAAATGCTGGGATTATAGGTGTGCGCCACCACACCCGGCTTAAAATGAGGGATTTTTAAATTTATGAAGGGGCATACTAAAATTGTTTCTGTAGTTTTGTTGCATGTAGCAGACTGCTTTTCGGACCCAAGTAGAAAACAAACTTAGCAGATGTAATGTAGTAGAAAAGGCACTCGATTAAGTGTGAGATATAAATTCTAGAACTAAATCTGCCTCAAATTTAGTATCCTGCCCAGGACTCATCCCTTAACCTCTTTGATGAATTTCCTCGTCTGTTCTTTATCTCCTTTGTTCCAGTGATCTTCCCATCTTAATTATGGTGAAAAGCAATGTCCTTACAATTTTTTTTGCTATAGTCTACCAAGCACCTCCTCCAACTCAGTTCTTTACCACTCTCCCATCTCACTGGACTCTAGGCACACTGATCTTGCAAACACCAGACTACCTAGGCTTCAGGGTCTTTACACTTTCAGGTCCTCTGCTCCACTGTTCAGTCTCTCCCCAAGGTATCCCCAATGCCCAGTGTTATGGTTTATATTAGATGTCCTCCCAAAGCCTCACAAGCTAATGGGTGGGGGTTTTGGGAAGTGATTGGATCACAGGGGTTTGATACTCACCAATAGATTAATTCTCTGATGAGCTTACAGCTAAATGTGGTATTGGGAGGTAACAGCCTGGTGGGAGGAGGTGGTGTGTGGACTGGGGGGGTTTTTCTCCCTCCTCCCTCCTTTCATTCCTTTTCGTTTTTTTGAGACAGGGTCTCACTATGTATTCCAGGCTAGTTTCAAACTATGTAGCCCCAGGTTGGCCATCTTCCTGCCTCAGCCTCCTGAGTGCTGGGATTATAGGCATGTGTGACAACGGCCGGCTCAAATGTCTTCCCCCAATGAGACTTTCATGGAAATGGCACTGCTTTTTTCCTGCTCCTTCTTCACCAACCCCTACCACCATCTGGCATGGAGTTGACCTGTTTAATTAGTTTGTCTTCTCTACCTGAATGTTAGAGGTGTTCGGAGACTGCTGTCTCCAAACAATTTAAATACCTGGCACACAGTAGGTGCTTAGTAAATACATGTACAGTAGAGTGAAAACCAGATCAATACAATGAGCCAATCAGGCCGGATGAATTATCCATCCCTAAGGTTAAACCGTGTGCTGCCTATTCGTCACGACTTCGTCTCAGACACAGATTCCCGGTAGAATCCAGGGACACCTAGGGCCCATAAAACGATACTCACTTTGCTGGAGTCCGTAGAGGAGGCCTCTGGGTCTCCCTCTTCATGTACCAGGTCCAACAGCTGGAAACCTGAACCCGCGGAAGCTTCTGAGGTCCCTGGTGCGTACTCAGACTCCAGGCTGCCGGAGGTCCCTGACGCTCGGCGGTTGGAGACCACTCGGTAGCGGCCCTCTTTCCTGACCTCCCGGGCTGTGGCGCGGAGATCACGGCGAATACGCTGTTGGCTGCTCCGGGAAGGGCGAAGGGCAGCCCGCACGAGCGGCTGGATTGGCTCCTCCTGGAGAGGGGACATCAGAAAGGGTTTGGAAAGGGTCTGTTAAGGGAGATAGGGAGCTTACGGAATCGCAGAAAAGCCCTAACCTCCCGTCTATAGACTAATACCTGGGAGCGCACGGTGGCCACCAACTGAAAGACATTATTCTCTGCCGCTCTGTCCAGACGCTCTGGCGTCTTCTGAGCAAACGACTCGACCTCGCCGCTTCGGAGGCGTTTACAAGCCAACACCAGAGCCTCGGCGGGCTCCGCACTGCGCTTCCGCTTTACCCGAAGAACCGCGGTCCTGCCGGCCTCCATAGCGGCTGTCGCGGAGCACTATGGGAAAGTGCGTGGAGCGAGGGGAGATCCAGTTCCGCTGTGAGCCCCGCCCCCGGTTTTCTCCGCGAGCGCGCTGAGCTTCTCTTCCCTCACACCGAACCTGCGGGAAGATGGCGTCGGCGGCGGAAGCCGAGGGAACGGTCCTCGCTGCTGGTGAGGCGCCGGGAGAACTGGGAAGGCGGGGTCGTGGTTAGGATAGCCAACTCCCTGTTTTCAACCCCAGAGGTCCGGCGGAGGCGCCTAGCGTGGACTTACTTCGACGTCGAGTTACGCATCTTTTTGGAACCTTTACAGAGTCCGCGTGGGGCGTCCCGGAGCGCACTGGCTGGCGGGAGAGCTGAGCTCAGATTGGCTCCGGCTCCGCGGTTCAGCCAGGTGATTGCCCTCTCTGGGCCCGTGGCACCGCAGTGTGGGGCCTAGAGCGCAGTACTCGTGCCTAGCGCCTCGAGTCAGCTGCACAGGCCCAGGCCTCAGTCATACGCAGCTCCAGCCTTCGCACCCCGAACTGGGCGAGGGTTCTCTCTGTTCCGGAAACTGATAGCACGCTTTCCATAGTCACTGTTCTAAGTAGTTGGAAACCAGTGTATTTACATACTAGTCAGGAGCAGCCTTGTAAGTGTGCATCCTACATGGACATACTGCTGCTTAAAATCCTTAGGTTGATCCCACTGTATACATTTAGAACGAAGTTCGAATGCCAAAGCCAAAAAGTCTGGTGTAATTTGAAGGAGCCCACCTCTAATCTCTTATGGTTTCTTCTCTAAGCGCTTCAGTCATTCAGCTTTTTATCACATTTTAGTTACGTGTCATTCTTTCTTGAAAAAGTTGGGATAAAGATCCCTGCTAAATTTGGCAGCCACGGTGGTGTAAGCGTATAATTCCACCTACTAGTAGGCTGAGGCAGGAGAACTGGGAGTCATAGCTGTGCAGGACCTAGTCTCAAAGGTATATTAAAAAGGGATGGGGATCTCAGTAGTACAGCACTTGTGTAGTATGCACAGGGCCCTGGGTTTAACCCTTAACACCTCACAGTTACTGCTCCCCAACTTGTTCCCTGGTTTGTCTTGCAGATCTCAATTTAAAAGCTGCCTTCCTCAAATAACCTTTCCATAACCTTATTCCCTATCGATAGTGCCCTGTGCCTTTTCATCCTTGAACTCATATAGTCCCTAACTGCTTATATTTCTCTGTCCTGTTTCAAAGCTGGGGATTTAGCTCAGTGACACCGCGCCTGCCTGGCAAGTGCGAGGTCCTGAGTTCAATCCCCGGTCCCGGAAGAAAAACCCCAAAACCAAGCCAAACCAAAACAGTTATTGCTTCATGGCCTTTTGGCTAAGATCAAGTGTAGTACTTATTACAGTTTAAACTCTTGGAGGACAAGGACCTTGCCTATAATGTGGTGTCCCCAATCCCTAACACAATTGCCTGGTTTATTGAAGGTACTAAGTAAGTTTAGAGTGAATGACTAGAATGTCTTCTCTGAACTCTGACTAGTAACGCTATTATTGGGTTTTGGCCTGGTGACTTCCATTTATTCCTTGTCTCTATGAGGAATGTGAATTTACAGCCCGTGGAGATGAAAATTAGAAAGGAGTCAGTGAAAGGTGCACTCTCCTAATCCCAGCCCTTGGGAGGTGGAGGCAGGAAGATTGCTTTGAGGTTGAGGCCAGCCTGGACTCCCTAGCAAGACCTTGTCTCAAAAAACCAAAAAAAAATCCCACAAAACATAAAAACCCCACAAGGAGTACTTTAAATTATTTCAGGCTCTAGGTCCACTCCTTTTTTAAAAAAAGAGAGAAAAGAGTCACAGAATGTCTCTCTCTTTTTGTGGGGGGGTGCTTTGAGACAGGGTCCCACTGTGTAGTTGAGTCTGACCTGGAACTCACTGTGTAGTCCAGGCTGGTCTCGAACTCACAGCGATCCTCCTGCCTCAGCCTCCCTAGTGCTGAGATTTCAGGTGTGCGCCACCACACCTGGCTCACAGGATATCTCTTGAATCTGGAGTGTGGGTTCTTTCTGAGCGGACAAATTATAATAATAACCTGAGGGAATTTACTCATTAGTATGTAATGCTTACCCCAAAATTCATAAAATTGTCAACACAGTGTAAGGTTTTCATCCTCAGACTTTATTGTTTAGGTCTGGGGTCATAGCTCTGTTGTAGAGCACTTACCTAATGTGCTGGAGTCCCTGGGTTCAATCTTCAGCACTGTGCCTTCTGTGATTTTACGGTTCTAAAAAGGCATCGTACTCCCAGTTATACCGTTCCATTTACTAAAGTTTTTTCCTACTGTTTTAACCTTTGAAATTGATTCCATGTGGACCACAGGATAAGGGTTTCAGGATTTTTCCTTATATGGACCTCACCAACATGTTTGGCCCTTTGTTCGTTTTTGGTTTTGTTTGTTTGTTTGTTTGTTTGTTTTTTTCCCCGATACCAGGGATTGAACTTGGGTCCTTGCACTTGCAAGGCAGGCAGCAGAACTTCTGTGCTAAATCCCCCACCCTGTTTTTTGTTTTTTGAGGCAGGGTCTCCCTTTGTAGTTCAGGCTGGCCCTGAACTCACTAGGTAGCCCAGGTTGACCTCAAACTCTGCAGTTCCTCCTGCCTCAGCCTCCTGGGTGCTTGGATTACAGGCATGTGCCACCATGTCCAGCTTGTTCATTTTTACTTTTACCAAACTGATTTATTCAATGTGTATGATTCTCTAGGCCTTTCTCATCTGATAAAGTGCCTTCCAATCCTGTCCATCTTTTTTTTACCCCCCCTTCAATACTGGAGATTGAATCCATGGCCTTTGAACTGGGCTATATCCCTGACCCTTTTTTACTTTATTTTTTTCAAGACAGGGACTCACTAAATTGTTCAGGCTGGGTTGGAACTTGTGATCCTCCTAACTCAGCCTCCCAGAGTGCTGGGATTATGGGTATGCACCACTGCCTGGCTCTATCCATCCTTCAAGCCTTTTCTGAACATTTAGCCAGATGGGATACTTCCTCTCTCTTGAGCCTGTGTCTCCCCACTCCTTTATTTATTTATTTTTTTGGTACCAGTCGAACTTTGGACCTTGCACTTTCAAAGCAGGTGGTGGGCACCACTGAGCTAAATCTCTGGCTCTCTCTCCTTCTCATTTTGAGACAGATACTCTCTCTAGTTGAGATGGGGCTTGAAGTCATTGTGAAGCCCAGGCTGGCAATCTTCCTGCCTCGGCTTCCCAAGTGTTGGGATTACAGGTGTGCACCACCACACCTGGCTATATTTTCTCTTTACTACAGTGTTTCATGGACAGTTTTCTAAAGCACATTAATAAATTCTAAAAATTTTAGATATTTTGTCTTTAAGTATTAGTATATGAGATATACAGAACTGATTATAGCAGTGCTTTTCAAACTGCAGGTTACAACCCCATTGGTGAATGAACTCAAGTTGGTGGATCATGACCAACAATTTAAAAAATAAAAATAAAGTAGAAAATAAGAAGGGCTTTACCCATAGACAGGTTCAATATTTTGTGTAACTTTCGGTTTTATATGCATGTGTGTATATTTCAATGTAAAGTACAGTATGTTTCCTATTAGGGTTCTCAGAATATTTGAGAATCACTAGATTAGATGATAGATGTGCTAAGATTTTTTTTTTTTTTTTGGGGGGGGTACTGGGATTGAACTCAGGACCTTATGCTTGCAAAGCAGGAGGTGGAACCACTGATCTAAATCCCTGGCTAGATATGCTAAGATTTTAAGAGTAGAATTTTACGAAAGGCAGATTGACTACTTTATTTTGGTACTGGTCATAGAACTCAGAGCCTTGCACTTGTGAGGCAGGCACGAAACCACTGAGCTAAATCCCCAGCCCAAAATTGACTACTTTTAACCAGGCATTGACTGCCTGTGTCTTTTCAGAAAAGATTATTTTCCCATAAGTTTCTACAAGAATCCAGTATTTACTTAGTCTAAATAATGTCAAAAGGAAGTCAGAAACTCTGGCCAAGAAAATGCCTTTAAGAAGATTTAGGATAGAAGCAAGACGTATCATGTACAGGTACAAATTTCCTATGATGAATGTTACCATTATATATATCTAAAATGTACCAATAAATGTTTTGCTTAAAAAAAAAGGATTTAGAAGCACCAGTGTTCAGTAGGATGGAAGGAGGGAGTATGAAACACTTGCTGATTTCTGAATAGTACACTAGTTCTAGCAGAGCCTGGACCTGCTGAAGGATGTTTTCAAACTTGGCATTGGGTGCTTCTCTGCTTCCCCGAAATGGGTCTCTTTTGGGAGACAAGCCATGCAAATGAATCTGGTAACATTTTATTTGTTTGTTTGTTTTTTGGTACTGGGGATCGAACTCAGGTCCTTGTGCTTGTGAGGCAGGCGGTACTACTGAGCTAAATCCCCCTGGGGAGATAGACTGGGGATAGAACTGGGGATAGAACTGAGGACCTTGTGCTTGGGAGGCAGACTCAGCACCACTGCACTAAATCCCCAGCCCTGAGGGAAGATTTTTTAAAAAATTGCTCTCAAGTGGCTGGGGATCAGAAAATAAATAATAATTACTATTGTGAAATGGGATGAAAAGGGCTAAAGGTATAGGGAAGGTGCGATGAGTAGGGGAAGGATAAATAAGGGAAGAGAAATGTGAGAAAATGAAAAGATGGAAATAAAGTGTTTGTAAATGGGGAAGGGAGGGAGGGGGTAAAGGGAGGGCAGGGACAAGGGGAAAAAATGAGAACCAAGACCTGTTGTGTAGAGGTACAGCATCCCAACTATCAATGTAACTGTACAGTATCCCTAAAATGTACCAATAAACTCAATTAATTAAAGAAATTAAATTTTGATTAGATAAGTTGTGGTTTGCATCTAAAATGTCCCTCCAGATCACTGTGAGTTCGAGACCAGCATGGGCTACATAGTGAGTTCCAGGTCAGTCTCAACTAAATAGTGAGACCCTATCTCAAAAAAAAAAAAAAAAAAAAAAACAAAAAAAGCAAAGCAACAAAGAAAAGTCTCTCCAGGGGCTGGGGATTTAGCTCAGTGATGCCACACCACAAGGACCTGAGTTTGATACCAGTACCAAAAAAAAAATGTCCCTCCAAAAGACTCCTGCTTTTAGAAGTAGGGCTTTTGGAATATGATTGAACCATGAGGACTTTGATTGATGAATTTATAATTTGATATTTTTGGTGTTACTGGGAGGTGATGGTAGTTTAGGAGATGGGGCCTAGCTGAAGGTAAGCGGGTCATGGTGGTGTGCCTGTAGAGATTATCTTTTCTACACCATGCCCTTCCATTGTGATGTTTCTACCTTGCCACAGGCCTAAAAGTAGCAGAACCAGCCAACTTGTAATTAAAACAGCCAGATAAACCTTTTCTCCTTTAAATTGTTGTTCTCCAATATTTTGTCATAGCAATAGAAAGCTAACTAACACAGTAATTATAAAAGATAGTGAGGTAGCAGGCACAGTGACACACACCTGTTCTCCCAGCTATTGGGAAAACTGAGATTCTAGGATGGCAATTTTGTGGCCAGCCTGGACAATTTAGTGAGACCGTGTCTCAAAAGGAAAAAATTAAAAAGGGTTGTAGCTCAGTCATAGACTACTTGCCTGGCGTGTGCAAGGCCCTAGGTTTAATCCTTAGTATTACACACACACACACACACACACACACACACACACACACACACAAAAGTGAAACATAAAGTATGATAATATGAATACCCATGTTCACGCCACTTTAATAAAAAATGACATTTTGAAATCCACTGTGTAAGCCTCCTCGATTCTGCCCCTTTCTCTTTATTCTTAGAAGTAGGTATTACTCTCTGCTGGACATTGTGGCACATACCTGTGAGCTAGTAATTCAGCACTCTGGAGGCTAAGGCAGGAGGACGGTTGAGTTTGAGGCCAGCCTGAACTACAGAGTGAAACTCTGTCTCATCCACCCCTCCAGAGTAACTACTAGTCTCATTCTCTGCTGTCTTTTAGTGTGATCCTTGAAAAATACTTCACATTTATTGTTTTATTTTACATGTTTACTAGTTTTGTGTAGATGGAATTATTGTGTGCTGTTTGTGATTTGCTGTTTTTTTCTCTCAACATCATATTCTTGCAACTGTTTGTGTATGATTTATTGTTTGGAGTAGACAAAGGTTTTCCTTGTTTGACTTAATTCTGGTGTAGTTTTCTTTAAGCTAAGTAGTTAATATGCTGGAGCAACGCCATGCCATCTCTTCTTGTTCTCTTTCTACTAGTCTTTTGCTCAGCTTTCCTTTTTCACCTTTACTTAAGGATTGTATCCAGATGACCCTCTGAGGTTTAATTGACCCTGTTGGAGTCTCTCTTTTTAATCCAACATCTTTCTTTTTTTTTCTTTCTTTCTTTTTTTTTTGGAGACAGGGTTTCACTTTGTAGTGTAGCATGGCCTTGAACTCACTATGTAGTCCAGGCTGTCCTTGAACTTCCAGTGATCCTCCTGCCTCAGCCTGTTGAGTGCTGGGATTACACGGGTGTGCCACCATGCCTGGCCTGGAATCTCTAAATACTGCCAAAATTTCCATACAGCTATATGAATTTATTTTTTAATGTTATGTGTTGAATATAAAAATCAAATAATTCTTGCTGGAAAGATTACTGATTAAATATTTTCAGTGGCTGTGATATTTTGTCAATTTCTTGATTACTTTTCCCCTTTTGTTTTCTTGTCACATCCTGATAGTTGAATAGATTTCTGACGATCAAATCTGTCCCCAAGAAATAAACTAGTGACACTGCATTTCTGTTTAAACACTGAGGAGCTGATTGGAACCATGAAGGTCTTCTGTGGCCGAGCCAATCCAACCACAGGAGCCATGGAGTGGTTGGAGGAAGATGAACACTATGATTACCACCAGGAGATTGCCAGGTAACAAGGGTTGGTTCCCAAGGCTGTAGCTGGATGGGGCACTTATCTCAAAGCGAACACCTTGGAATCCAATGTGGTATGAACTAGGCTGTCACCCAGCGCTTAGGATCAGGGCAAGTCTCTTTTTTGGTACCTGGGATCGAACTTGGGTCTTTGCACTTGCGAGGCAGACAGTGGCATCACTGTGCTAAATCCCTGGACCTAGTTTCTCATTCCCCAGCCCCTAGTTTCTCATTTTTTATGCCTGAGTAGTACTCCATTTTATTTAAAAAAAAAAACCCTACATCTTCTTTATCTAGTCTCCAGTTGAGCAAATTGGCTGTTTCCAAGCTTAAGCTATTAAAAACTGTGCCACTATAAACATGGGGGTGTGGGCCAGAGTTTTAGCTCAATGGTGCCACCACTTGCCTCATAGCACACAGTCCTGAGTTTGATCCCCGGTACCAAAAAAAAAAAAAAAGTTTATGGGCTGCGCATATATCGCTATGGTATGATTCTTCAATTCTTTTGGGAAGATACCCAGGAGAGGAATAGCTGGATCAAAGGGGACCTCTAATTCTAGTTTTTGAGGTATCTCCATGTTGATTTCCACAGTTGGTTGCACCAGTCTGCACTCCAACAATGGAGAAGGGTTCCTTTCTCCTGCAACCCCACCAGCATTTGTTATTGGTTGATTTCTTCGTAGCCTTTCTTTCTGGGGTGCGATGGGATCTCTGTTGTTTCATCTGCATCTCTTGAATGACCAATGATGTTGAACAGTTTTTCATATGTTTATTTGCTTTTACTTCTTTGTCTGAGAAATGTCTGTTTATTTCAGATGCCCATTTTTGAATTGGATCTTTATATTTGGTGGGGTGTCCTGATTTTTTTGAGTTCTTTATATATTCTAGATAGAAGTCCCTTGTCTGAGGAACAGCTGATAAAATGTATTTCTCACATTGCAGGTTGTCTCTTAGCTCTGTTGGTGGTTTCTCTTGCAGTGTAGAAGCTTGTTAATAAGATGAGAACCCAGTTGTTGACTCTTTGTGCTAGTTGCCAAGCTCCTGAGGTTTTGTTCATAAAGTCTTTTCCTATGCCAATGTGTTTTGTTTTATTTTTGAGACAGAGTCTTGCTGTATGTTCCAAGGTGGCTTTGAACTTACTATCTAGCCCAGGCTGGCCTCAAACATGCCGATCCTAAATCCTGGGATAGTATACAACTGTAAAAAAATAGAATGATGAAAAAAATGTGTATTTTCATTCTTATTTTACTGGCCTCCACAATGACCTTTGTGTAAGACATAAAAGAGAGCCAGGCATGGTTACACATGCCTGTAGTCCCAACACTCAGGAGGCTGAGGCTGAGGCAGGAGGGATTGCCTCAAATTTGAGGCCAGCTGGGGCGACGTAGTGTGTTCAAGGCCAACCTGAAATACATACCAAGACCCTGTTTAAAGAAGACAAGCAAGCAAACAAAAAGAAATAAAGACAAATGTATATATAGTATTGTTTTTACAAAATGAACCTGGAAGGATTAAATTGGAAACTAATAAAAGTAGTTACCTGTGGAGAATAAGAATAGAGTTGAATGGGAGGAGGGGGTAGAGATTAAAGCCTGTGCTCTTTCTCCCATTGAGCTATGCCCAGTCCTCTGAGGGTAACTCTTTGTTATAGTTTTGATTCCTAAGTTATAAAGAGTTTTACATATAAAAATAAAATTACATGTTGAAAAAGCAAACATTAAAATGGGGAGGAGGTGGGCAAAGACAGAAATAACTAGAGATAGCTGAGTATAGATCTGAAAGCCTTGGTATGTCATTTAAAAACCAGAAAACAGGCTGGGGATTTAGCTCAGTGGTTCTGCTGCTTGCCTTGTAAGCACAAAAAAGAACCTGTATTCTAATAAGATGGAAAACAGAAGAAATGAAAAGATTCCTAGATACATAAATTACCAAAGCTAAATAAAAATGTATTAAAACCCCCCGGAAAACAGAAACCATTCTTTCAGTGCAGTGCTCCTCAAAGTGTTAAATAAGCAGTACCTGTCTCACAGTTGCCTGGAGCTGGTTCAAGCACAGCTTTCCACATTCCAGCCAAGCCTTGGATCAGTCTAAGTATGTCCTGAGAATTTGCTTTTCCAATAAGCCCTACTGATTCTGGTGTTGACTCAACTAGGGGGCCTCTGTTTCACTAAGAATGTCTCAGCTCTCCTCTGGAACTCCCAGAAGGCATCTTTAGGCTGGTCCTGTTCTTGGTATTCATCCTGATCATATAAGAGGGTGTTGCTTTCTTCCTTCTCTTCTGTCTTCTCTTTCCTCCCTTCTCCTTTCCCTTCCCTCTCTTTGTGATGCTGGGGATAGAACCCAGGTTCTCATATATGGTAGATGCTATGACAGAGCTATACCCAGTCCCCATTTTCAAATTTGAGAATACTACAGTAGAAAATATGGATACATAGTTCTCCCTTTAACACTGTATTTGGTAAACTCTTTCATTATCCCTGAAGATGTGACATGAAGCGCTCAGCATGATGACCCTCACCGACATAGCACGTATGTGCTTTCCTTTTCCCAGTCCCTGTCCGTAGTAGCACCCCTACAGTAATTCCAAGGCGAACATGTGTACAAGGTCAAGCAGGTGTTGGGAATACTGAGTCTGAGTGACCTGATTGGATGCTGGTGGCTGTGGGACAACTATGACAGGGCCAACTACTAGCACACTTTTTGGTCCGAGAACATTTATCTCAAATTTTTTTCCTGCAATACTGAAGAGTAACAGCTTCTAATTCTATTAGAATAATTTAAAATGGATACCATGTTTGTCCCATCTGATTGAGAAGTGTATTTATATATGTGAATATGCTCAAAGATTTTTTGACCTTTTTTTTGTTTTTTAGGTCATCTTATGCAGATATGCTACATGACAAAGACAGGGTAAGTGTAAAATGAAGCCCTTATCTTGATGTAATGGTTTGAAACCTTAGATTAGTTACAACTTTGCTGGAGAATCATAATGTGAGAATGATGCTGAAAGGTGGTATGATACTGTGGTCAGGAACTCAGCTAGGAGACGAGTGGCTCCTACCTCTGATGCTGTCCTTTTGCTCCTCAGCTTTATTAAGATAAAACTGACAAATCAAAATTTTATATATAGTAATTCCTTGGTTGTCAAACTCAGCTCATTCCAAATTTATGTTCAGACACTGAAAAGTTTGAGAACTGAACATATTTTTCTTATAAGAAAAGGGAAAACCAAATAACTGATTCTGAGGCACAAAAATTGCACTTGCAAGGCAGGCCACCGAACCGCTGAGCTAAATCCCCGGCCCATCACTGACTTTCACTGACTTTCTGTAGAGCTATGTGTGTAAATATCTTTTATGTAAATAGAGTGCCAAAAAGAAAGCACAGTGGTGAATGTTGTAATGAACTAATACGAGCACTATATGTTGTCCGGGCGAGAGTGGCACTTAGACCTCTTTGTGTCTGCGGCGAGACAGGATGTGTAACTCAGGCTCAGCCCATACAAGTTGGATTTTCAGTTTGATTATTGAGCAAAGTTAAGAACATGGAGCAGAGATTTTTGAACTTTGCTGTTCAAGTAGTGGAACGTTTGAGCTGGGAGCTGGTCAACAACCGAGATATCACTATATTTTCTGCATGGTGGCATATGCTTGTAATCTCAGCTGAGGCAGAAGGTTCTCAAGTTTGAGACTAGCCTGGACAACTAAGCAAGATTTTTATTTGATTTTCTTTTTGCGTGTTTATAGCTGTTTTGTCTGTTTCTTGTGTGTGTGTGTGTGTGTGTGTGTGTTGCTAGGGATTAAACCCAAGGCCTTACTCATACTAGGCAAATGCTCTATCACTGGGCTACATCCCAACCCCATTTGGAATTTATCTTGTAGTCCTCTTACCAAGTTTTCAAATCAGATGTTTGGCTCATTTTTCATCTTTTTTATTGTATTTCTTTTGAAGTATTGCTTGACCCATCTCGTTTTTTATCATTCACTTCTAGATATTTTGTAATCCTAGTTTGATTTAGTCTTTTACACCTACAAGTTTAGAAGTACATGTCTTCTCTCTCTTTTTTTTCTTTCTTTTTTGTGGTGCTAGGGATCAAACCAGGCCCTCGTCTGTTAGGCAAGCTTTCTACCACTGAGCAGAACTCAGTTTCTTTTTTCTTTTTCTTTTTTTGGTACTGGGGATCAAACTCAGGACCTTGTACTTGAGAGGCAAGTGGTAGAACCACTGAGTTAAATTCCTGGCCCAGAATTGCATTTTTTAATGTTCAAAAATCTGCTTTTCTTTACTTATACTCTTGTAATTGAGATCTCTAATTTGATTATTGCACTGTGGTCAGAAAATGCTGCCCTTTTGATATCAGCTTTATATTAGTTATCTTCTGTTAGGTAACAGATTGTCCCCAAATTTAATGGCCTCTTAATTCTTTACTAACTTGTAGGTCCTCAGTACATTTAGAAAGATTCACAGATTTTGTTCTCATCGTTTTTGCTTGTTTTTTTGTTTGTTTTTGAGACAGGGTCACACTATGTAGTTGAGACTGACCTGGAACTCACTATGTAGTCCAGGCTGGTCTCAAACTCACAGCAGTCCTCCTGCCTCAGCCTCCCGAGTGCAGAGATTACAGGCATGCACCACCATGCCCGGCATGTTCTCATCATTTTTGCTTGTTTTTTTGTTTGTTTTTGAGACAGGGTCACACTATGTAGTTGAGACTGACCTGGAACTCACTATGTAGTCCAGGCTGGTCTCAAACTCACAGCAGTCCTCCTGCCTCAGCCTCCCGAGTGCAGAGATTACAGGCATGCACCACCATGCCCGGCATGTTCTCATCATTTTTATTTTCAAGTACTCTACAGGTTCAGTGTATCTATTTAGCCAAATCACTACAAATAGAAGGTAAGTCTGTTTACTGAAACTTCAAGTTGGCAAAAAGTTAATTTTAGACAAGAAAGCTATAGAGTTGGAGTCCAGGAAGGAAAACAGAGACCAAAGTGCATTATATATTGCAGTAGTGAGAGTGTGAAAAGGAGTTCATTGTCCAGGTGTGGGAGGACTAGAAAGCAGAGGGAACAACCAGGCTAATTCAACAGTAGTGCAGGCAAGAAACCCTTGCATTGCCTGGGACTGAGAAATAGAGGAGAAGTTTAGGGTTTCCGGATCCTAGAAGCTGATGTGGAGGGCCTGGGGAGCTGGTGTGCTCACCTCTGAAGATGACTGCTGTTCAAATGCTGCTCTGGGGGACTTGAGGGAACTGGTAATGGGGACACAGAGAAATGGGGTCTGGAACCAGCTGCCACTCCTGGGAGGACCTTGACCAGAGCAGCATCCCTTACAGAAAGGCACAAGCTTACAGGGAGCACAAGCTCCCTGCTTCTACTCTCCAGTTGTCTTCTCCCACTGGCTGTACCTAACTACTGGGAAAACTGTGTGGTTTGCAGGGTACATACATCATGTGGAAGAGTATAGAAGAGTGAAGGTGAAAGGGAGCCAGGCACTTAGTAAAAGGCAAGAGGCTACAATGCTGTGCTCTTGGTATCTTGCAAGGCCTGTCTGGCTCTGCTGCCCATGCTGTTCCTCCAGAGAGGGAAGAGTCACAATGCCCTGACTTAACACTGCTTGTGCTAACCCTAACAGTCCAACTCTACAGTGTCTTTTTGCTTAAAATGACTGCTATGAAATAATAATTATTTCTTCTCTGTTAGAATATAAAATATTATGGGGGTATCCGGGCTGCCGTGAGCAGGGTGAAGGACAGAGGACAGAAGGCCTTGATTCTTGACATTGGCACTGGCACTGGACTTTTATCAATGATGGCAGTCACAGCAGGTGCTGACTTCTGCTATGCTATTGAGGTGAGCCACACTCTGCTGGCGCGTGTCCTGTGTCTTGTGTGAGAAGTCCTGTGTCCTTGTGCTTTTGTCATCTTTTCATTCATAGACATTCATGGAGTGCTTGTTCCATGCAAGGTTCAGGGTAAGGTTCTCAGCACATAGAGTTGAGTCAGATATGACTCCTCCCTCCAGGAGTCTGTTTTTTGCTCTGAAAACAGTGGCTCTCACCCTTGGCCTACATGAGACTCACTAAAAAGTTTTTTAAAAAATACTGATTTCTAGACCTCTCCTGGTCCTATAGAAACTTAGATTTAATTTTTCTGGAATCTGGCCTGGCATTGGGACTTCTAAATGTGGAGCAAGGTTAAATGTCCCCACAGCTGTCTTTTATTACATTACCAGTCTGCCATTTCTTTCTTTAATAAAACATTTAGCAGCATATATTACTTTTCTTGTGTAAATAATGTGTACTATTGTAGGAAATTTTGTAAATACAAAATAAAAGTAGTATGTTAACCTATAGCCACCTGCTGTTACAGTTTTGGGGTGGGTAGGAGATACATATGTAAATACTTTGCCCAACAAAATTGGATCCATTTTTTATCAAGTTCAAAATAAGAAAGTGACAGTGGTTTAAACAATGTAGAAGTTTTTCCTTCCTCAAAGTTTGGAAGCTAACAGCACAGTATTGCCAGGAGTGGTGATGCACACCTGTAATCCCAACAGCAGTTGGAAAGGTGAGGCAGGAGGATTGATGCAAATTTAAGGCCAGCCTGGGCACATAGTTCAAGGGCAGCCTGGAATACATAGCAAGACCCTGTCTCAAAAAACAAACAAATCAACAACAAAAGAGAGACAGACAGACACTGAAAGAAAAGCAAAAATAAAAAGTCTAGGATATTCTACTTCAGCTTCTTTTCTTTCAGCTCCTTATTCTGTTATCCCTACAATGTGGTTTTCATATTTGTGGTTTAGAAAGGTGGCCATATTAGTCTGAGAAAATACTATAGTATATTTGGGGAGCAGTATTATCCAGAGTCTTGGTGAAAGATGTCATAGTAGAAAAATCCAGGAAGGTAGGTTGCTGCCAGATTGTCCAGGATCTGCATGCAACAGACAGTAATGCTAGTATTTTGAGTTAGGTCTTTTCAGCCTGAGGTGAGAATAATAGACTTGAGATCTCCATGAAAACAAGTCCTGAGAGACATGTGAAAGACCGTGCACTCATCTTGGTATTTTGTAAAAAGGATCATAAACTACTCTACTTTTAAGGTAATCTCCAATGTATTTGAGCAGATACCAAAAAAAAAAAAAAAATTGTGTTTAGCTGGGTATGGTGTCACCTCTCTGTAATCCCAGCACTCTGAGAGGCTGAGGCAGGAGGATTGCATTTTTTTTTCTTTTTTATTGAGTTTATTGGTATTTTTTAAGTATACAGTACAGTTACATTCATCATTGGGATCTCATACCTTTACATTGGAGGATTGCAATTTGGATCTTGACCTGCGCAACTTAGTAACTTAGTGAGACCCATCCTATCTCAAAATAAAAATAAAAAAGGGCTGGGAATTTCATTCAGTGTGAAGGCCCTGGGTCTCAACCCCTGCACTGCCAAAAAAAAAAAAGATGTCTGTGTTTTAGGATGGTTGTCTTGATATCTTCAAAGTAGGGTCGTCCCACCCTGCCTTATTTTATAAATGAAGAAACGAGGGCCCAGAGACATTAAAGACTTAAGTCCTACAGTTAGTAAACAGGAAAGCTAGATCTGGAACTGTGTCCCCGGTTCCTAATTATGCTGCTCACTGCTCAGTGATTGCTGTGACGGAAGGGTGTATGTTTCCCTGTTGATGTATTCGTATCCTAGTATGGCTGTGTAGGGAGCCAGCAGTGCCCTTGACTGGTTGAGGAGCCGAGCAGAAGATGCTTAGTTGCGGGAGAGAGAACGCATTTTGTGTTGGATTTGTTGAGTCTGAGAGTTGGTTTATCAGTGGACCACTAGTTGAAAATATAGAGGAGGGGCTGGGGATTTAGCTCAGTGGTTCTGGCGCCTGCCTCGCAAGCACAAGGACCCGAGTTCGATCCCCAGTACCAAAAAACAAACAAACAAAAAAAAAAACAGAGGAAATCATTTTTGACAGAGTTGGTAAAACTGCTCTCAGGGTTTTCCCATATTCTCATGTCAGTTACCTGGATTTCTAAATCTGTTTTCCTGGTATGGCCTGTGACACTCAACATCTCTGCCCTGTGGTTCTTGGGATCTCTGCTGGCCTACCAGATTTTGCTTTATTGACCATCCATTTGAACCTCTCTGTCTCTGTGGACTGCTCTGTGGTTTGCAGCTCTGCCTGAGCATATAGCCTCAGGACAGACAGGTCCAGAGGAATGAGCTAGGAGAACCTGTGGGAGATCTCTAACCTTGAGAGAGAGGCACGTGAGCGGACCTGTACTCACTCAGTAACATGCAGCAAGTGAAGCGAGTGTGATGTGAAGCAGGTGACAGGTTTAGCAGTCACATTGTCTCAAGAGGAAGAGTAGAGTTAGAAGAGCAAAGCTTAGAAACATGCTGCTTTCATGGGCTGAAAGAGTGAGTGGCCCTTGAGAGCAGAATGCTGTGGAAGCCAGCGGCGCAGACTGTGTGAAAAGCAAAAAGAGCGAATGGTCAACTGGTGCAGATGGGAGAGAGCAGCACTGTCCAGTAGCACTTGCTGTGATGATGAACATCTTCTATCGCTGTGCTGTCCCATATGGAGGGGCTTTAGTCACATGTGTACTGAGTTTTTGAAATGTGGCTACTATGAATGAGGAACTGAATTTTTTTTTTTTTTTTTTTTTT